CCTGTAGTCTAAGCTACTTGGGAGGCTGAGGCAGGAGACTCACTTGAGCCCAGGAGTTGGAGGTTGCTGTGAGCTGTGATGCCATAACACTCTATCCAAGGGGAGAGCTTGAGGCTCTGTCTCAAAAAAAAAAAATGTGTTATAAATACACATACTAAATTCATTGCCAGCTTTCTATTATCATCATTCTCTATATCACCTTGAAAATTAGAGCTTTTAATCAAATGCCCAACGTGTGATATTTTTACCCAAATCATATCAAAAAGGAAACCATAATTCATACCAACTAAACTTACAACTGTAAAGAAAAATTTTAATTTATTATTGGTCTTGGTTTTTATTTTGCAACTATTCTTTTGTACTTTCAGTAAATTCATTTTTTTCTTTTGCTAGGCTGGGGGATAAACCCTAATGCTGGCTAGATAAATCAGCCTTTCTACAAAGAATGCCTCAGTCATTCTGACGAGTGTTTAGGTATTTTGTCCCCTTCACTGAATAGAGATAGTATAAAATCTATGATCTGCAAAAACAATGGCACAAGAGTTCCTCAAAACTCAAAATGTTAAGTATAGGGAAAAACTTCTCCTTTGCCCTCTGAAGATTTGCTGCAAAATAACTTACAAAAGGCAGATTAATAAGAGAAAAGATACACAAATTTATGAATGTGTGCTGAAGAGTGATTTTCCAACCCCCAGTGGAGCACAGAAGCTTATATACTATTTTGAAAGAATGAGGGCTCAGAGCATGGCCATAAACAGGTTATGCTGACATGTCAAGATTGGTTATGGGAGGGATAACAGAGGAAGTCTGGTTACCAAAGGTAGTCTTTTACATAGATGAAACCTCACAGGCACCAGCCTGACCCAGCCCTCAGAAAGAATAGATGGTCGTTTCTTTCAGACCTTTAAAAGCATCAGACACTCCATTGTCTTTCCTAAATTGGACAAGGGAGGGCCTAAGATAAAGCCTGGCTGCATGAACATTGATTTTCTTTACAGATGCAAATCTATACAGAAGACAGTTTTGCAGGCCTATATCTGTCTGCAGGTCTTCTGTAGCCATCTCAAGCCAAAGAGGTACACTGTGGAGTGAAATATTTATATTTCTATCCTAAGTCTCCCCACTTCATATGTTTTCATCATACAAGGAGATTTTGGAGAGAATGCTTGATGAAACCAGAAAACATAATTATATTTGCATTATGAAACCTATGAATTAAAATCACATTTTTCTTAATAGATATTTCATAGCTAGTCATGGAAGATTAAGAAGACGTAGGGTGCTTCAAAGAATAAGAATGTCTGTAGAGGGACACAGTGTCCCTCAGGTTGTTTGGGTGACATGCAGACATAATTGTTTCCTGTTCCCTGCACAGCCTCCATAGTGATTGGGAAGTGGTGGTGTGAGATGGAGCCTTGCCTAGAGGGAGAAGAATGTAAGACACTCCCTGACAATTCCGGATGGATGTGTGCTACAGGCAACAAAATTAAGACCACAAGAGTAAGATTGCTAATTTCATATGTCTTGTGCATGTTACACACTGTACTATTTATCTTTGTGTTATACTAACAGCATCTAGAGACACTTCGAACAGGAGAGAATGACTCTTCCTCTACAGAAAACATTCTTGAGTATCCTGATCTGTGTCCATCCATGAATAAGAAGCTAGAGAATGAACTTGACTTTCCCATGCCTAGCAGTTTCTGAGTCCTAAATTAAGTTAGATTTCCATAGCCAGCAGAAAGAGGAGCAGTGAGGTCATTATTCAGATAATTCACCCAACGTCTATGGTGCTCAGGATGATAGTCAAATAAAGGTCTTGCCTAATTCACCTAGATGGTTGCTGAAAAGGTCTGCATTTATGTACAACCATTTTCAAAAGGTTCTATAAGAGAATTATTTAATGATTTAGAGAACTGAAAATGTTTTTTGTAAAGTAAACAATCATTCCTTGCTTTCTTTGGCTGAGTATAGAGTGCTCTTCAAAAGACACAAAAATATTTAGGGTGAGCTGCTCCAGCCCATCATAATGGGTGCCCTGATGCTGGACAAGGCAGAAAGGCCCAACCAATAAGACCTTATCCCTTAAATACTGGATAGTCTGGGATTCCTAAAGGGGACAGGGGAGGGGAGATGCTCAGGACACTTAAGTAGTAATTGTTTACCTACTAATACAAAAGCATGTCAGTATTTTAACAGCCAGTATGGTGACATGTTGCATATCACTTGACTATCAGCCTGTGTGTGAGTCTGTGTGTGTGATTTATTGGGTATTTTTTAAAGCAAGTGCTACCAGTTACAAACCCCAGCATGCTGAGATTTTATTTTACCAAAAAGGTAACTCAAATTTAAATGGGCATCTCTGATTCCAGCCTGCGTTTTATGAATCTTAACTTGCTCTTTCTTTCCCATATCATATTTTCAATAAACAAAATTGAGTCTTAATAGCTTTGTGATACAGAAAACAAAAATAATGCTTCATAATACTATATAAAGCACTTATTTTTCACAACTAAAAGATATGTTGTATGTCAAATTTAGTTGCCTATGGTGACCACAGTGACCACCAAACGGCTGCACCTCCCTGACCTGTGACCAGGAGGGATTCCTGGACCACCCTGGCATGTTAACATGCATCTTCTTATGCCCAAATAGTTCCATGTGGATTATGATATTTTATTCCAATGGAACAACTATAGAAGTGAGCATTCAGAGATGAGTCTGGTTCATGCTACTTGTCCACATAAACCATTTTAATTAGCTGATAAAAAATGGATATCAGGTTTCCTTTCAGTTACATTGTACCTGAAAATGATTTTACTAAATAATTTGAAGATTCCCTTACAAGTTAATTTAAATTATTTGGAATTATGGCCAGTATGATTGGAATCCAGTCACCTTTGTTTTAAACACATCATTGCTGGTATATATTCTGCCAAATCTCTATTCTCTATTCCAAATGATAACTGAGTACCCTTTATCATAGGTAAGTCTTATTCTTATGGTGTCTCCAAATCTGAAACTCAGTAAAGAAATATAATTCATGTCAAGATTTAAATGTGAATGTATACATGTACCCAGCAGGTGACTCTTTGGAAGATAGAACATAAACTCAAACAGAAACAAAAAACCCAGAGACTGTTAATGCTACTTTTTGTGACCTATGTAACTTTAAAGTATATTGTAAAACTATCAGTCATATTGTCAGTGTGCCCTAGACATTTTCCAGTATGGCATGAGTATTGTGCAGAATTTGATCACAGTAACAGAGGGTTGAGTACACTACTGGCTAGGGCAGTGGTTCTCAATCTGTGAGTCACAACCCACAGGAACTATATTAAAGGGCCACAGCATTAGGAAGGTTGAGAACCACTGGGCTAATGCCCTAGGTGGGATAAATTCCACTCAGCCAGTTGAAAATATAAGATAAATAAATGGCCCTGCAATTGGTCTAAGAGCACAGGATGTCTCTGTTCTGATGTGGGTGTCCATTTCAAGAGAGGAAATGGGAAACTGCTCTACACAACATGAGCTTCTTATCAGTCTACTGAGAAGTCTCAAGTCTGTCTTTAGAAAAGGAAAAAGAGGACACAGATGAAAAGCTGTATTTTTTAAACCTTGAAAGGACTTGCACACAGCTACTGACATATATTTTCCCCCCTCCTTCCTCAGAAACTCACAACAAAATAAGTACTATTAAACACGAAAGCCAAACACCAGTCCTTAGATCATATGCTCTGAAAATAGGACTTAAGTTAATTTTTCTTGTGTGCCCAATGTATTTTTCCCATCAGAGCACGAATATGCCTACACACTTCAAATATTGACTCTACCCATTTTATTTTTAAAATAGTTTAATTCACAGATGTGCTTTAATGATTATGAGTCACATGTTTTCATTGTTCTAATCAAAGACATAAGAAAAATAGAGTCACCTCTTTTGTTCTTTCTTTTTGTAAGATTGATTTAAAAAGATCTTTCTCAAAAAAAAAAAAAAAGAGAGAGAGAGAGAGAGAGAAGCTGAAGAAACAAACCCAACTTATTAATGAGAACTGAGCGTTTCCTTCATGCTGTTATTTTGAAAGTCACTCCAATATAATGATAACAGCAGGAAAGCTACTTGGAACTTCATTGTCCTCTTTAAAACAGCAGGTTCTCAACCTGTGGGTCACGACCCCTTTGTAACAATGAAAATACACTGCGGCATTAGGAAGGTTGAGATCCACTGCTTTAAAAGATTTTTCCAAATCTTCCTACTCTGTAGGTCACTTTTAAAATAATCAGCCTAAGAAAAAATTCTCAGAAGTCTTTGAAATGTAGATAAACAAATGATGCTTCAAAGTGTGATCTAATTTAAAATGTTATGGTGTTCATTTTTTAATGAGGGTGAAAATTAGAAATTTAATGTTACATACAAACCACCAGACACCCTAGAACATGGACTAGCCTGTGTAATGAGCCACTGTCACAAGGAAAACCCTAGGGGCATTGGATCTGCGTAACAATATAACCCACAGAAAGAAGGAGAAAAAGGTAGGTGGAATTGGGCAAATCTTTTCTATTTGAGAAATCTGGAAGCATAAATCTTGGGAAGAGAGGAAAATTCCTGGACACCACAATATAGAGAGGAAGTAGTTACCCTAGAGCAGTAGTTCTCAACCTTCCTAATGATGCAATGTATTGTTAAAAAGAAGCCACAACCCACAGGTTGAGAACCACTGCCCTAGAGAGATTTCCCAAGACCCATCTTGGAATAGAATAAAGCTGGTAGCACACACTCTCCTGGGACAAAGCTTAATAGATCTGGGTGACATTTCATGGCCAAATTTTAACCCTATCTCTGCTTAATCATTGCTTAAATTATTTCATTTGTTGGTAGTTAGTAGCAAGACTAACACCCTAATTGTTGACTAGAGATCTTTTCCTTCTAAAATAGACTTTAGATACCTCTTCATTAATTTCTTTTCATTGAATTTATAAATTAAATGCATACAGTTGAATGTTGTGAAAGAACCTCACATGCATTCAAGGGACACATTTATACCTTTCATATTCAGGAACAATGTCTTTCTAAATTACTCAGGCTTAATTAGAAAGACAGAGTTCAATTAGAGATTCAATCTCCAACTCCCAAGCTATGTACAGGTACCAGTTCATGGCCTACTAGAAACTGGCCTGCCCAACAGCAAGTGAGCAGTAAACAGGGGAGCCAGTGAAGTTTCATCTGTATTTACAGCCATTCCTCATTGCTTATATCACTGCCTGAGCTCCATCTTCTGTCAGATCAGCAGCAGCAGTAGATGCTCATAGGATCAAGAACTCTGCTGTAAATTGCACATACAAAGGATCTAGGTTATGTGCTCCTTATTAGAATCTAATCACTCTCACCCCGATCCATGGAAAAATTGTCTTTCATTAAACCAGTCCCTGGTGCCAAAGAGGTTGGGGACTGTATAAATCACTTCACAATGCTATAATACTTTCAGCTAAAAACTGAACATCAATTGTTTAAGAGTAGAAAGAAGAAAAGGATGAAAAGAGAAGACAACCAAAGTCACTTGAAAGGAAAAATTAACAAGTTAAAACAGCAGATTACAATCTGGAGTTATACCCTAGGAAATATCAAGCAACTTTGGATTTGCTCCATTCCAGTATATGAATGTCACTCAAACAAGTGAGAAAATCAATAGTTAAAGCAAAACAGAAAATCAAGTTTCCTCCCCTAAAAGGAAGAGTTAATAGACCTTAGATTTCACTACTACCCTCAATAGCCATCTTCTCAAATCTGTGTGTCATGCCCACACTCTCCTGGGTCCGTCCTCGTAATGACAACTCTGGCTTTGCATACCTCCACTCATTCTAATCAGCTTGATGTTTGTATTTATCTGAAATTGAGAACCTATGACTTTACAATTCTGACTGCAGTCTATGTTACGTGACATACCTCATTAAAAGTAATGAGAGAATGAAACAGAGAGAGATCTAAAGAAATATTAACAATAACTGTCCAGAAGGGTAAAAAATTAGAAAATAAGAAAGAGACATTGAAAGACATGGAAATTAATTAAAAAAAAAAAGAAAAGAAAGAAAGAAAAAAAGACATGGAAAATATTGAGAGATTTGCAGATTACAGGAAGAACTAATATATAAACCAATTTACACAATCACAATTGTCCCTGGCTCTAAGTGAACTCAATCATTTCTTTAGCTAATAAATAATTTAAGCCTCTACTTACATTTATATTATCTAAATGTAGTGTATTAAGGTCTTGGAAATGTTATGTGATGATGAACCTGACAGAGCGCCTGAGTTTCTATAGAGGATAGGGCCTAAAACTGGGGAGAATCTTTAAAGTACTATCTTATTGAGGACCTGCTTCATGAGTATGTGACCCATGAAGAGTTTTGTAAATGTCACTTTTGGTGAAAAAGAAGACTGTATTTAAAAAGGTGATGAAATCCACTGGAATGTAGGAAGCCAATGTTTGGAAGAAGAAGCTACTACTTATGAGGAAAAGAAAATAAATGTGTAGAGACTTCTCCCACATTCTACCCCTGACCCAGCCATCTTTTGAATTTAGACTTTTGTTATTGTTCCTGCCTAACAATGAAAGGTTTAAATGGGCTTCCACCTCTGGACTCAGAACATTCAATTTCCAAAACTAAAAACAATTAAGATATAATAAAGAAAAATGCCTTATTTCTTCAAACTCTAGAATAGAGGCTTCAACCTTACTAGAATTGTTATTTGTGCTCTTAGTGATGCTCTGTGCATGCATTTTTAAAAAAATCTTAGTCTTTGAGACCATATCCACATGGTTTACAATGTATCTATAGTTATAGGATTATACCTGATTGACCTTGAACACTGTGCCATAGACTAGAACAGTTTCTCACCTTGCAAAGATGTCCTGTGTTCTATGTAGAAGTAATCCAACCTTGGCAACAATTTCACATCATGCCCAACCTCTACATCTTACAACAGGCCAACTTGACAAGCCCCTTGGAGTGAATGACCTACTCAGCCAAATTCCCATCAGATAGAGGACTACACATGATGTATAAATGATCATACACTGGGCCCAATGTAAAATGAAAATGCAGGGCCCTTGTTCAAAAACTATTAATAATTTCAAGATGACAACACTAGGGCATTAAACCAAGCATGGGGCCATTACCAAGATAGGGACTTGTGTGACCTCATAGGTCACACACCCATGAAGCCAATCCTCAATAAGACACTGCTCCAAAAGTCTTCTCAGTTGTGATAAAAATTAATTTAATGCATTGATGAAAATATCTGTCAATATGCTTTGATCCCATTGGAACAAACTACTGCTCTAAACTTTTAAGATTTCTGAGTTCTGATCACTTACTTGACAGGGTCAACATCCTGAAAATCCAAGAAGTCCTCACATTTCTTTGTGGCTTCCTTTTGTGCTGCTCTTCCTGAAATATCTGTTTTTCTTTGGTTTCAGATTCACCCAAGAACCTAACAGAAGCATTTATCATAGTAAAGAAAAACCAACCCTAAGGAAAATGCATTTTGAGAATTGAAAACATCTTACACATTTACAAGCCAAATGGATTTCTTATTTGCACTCTGACTGGTTAGTAGATAATCACAGTGCATTTACTGTGTGTAACAAAATATCCTATAATGAGAAGACTTGGAGTTTTTGGCAACACCATGGAAAGTGCGTTTTAAAAAAAAGGGTTTTCTCAGTGAAATTTTTTGGGATCATGAAGAACGATCAACTATCTTCTAATTTGAATCTATAGTTACTTTGTACCATTTGAAATATATGTATATATATAATATTTTGAAATATTATATATTCTCTTCAAGAAATGAACAGTACCACAGTTTGAGACGGCTGGTGTACCCCCTTTGAGTTTTGGATGTTCCGTCTGTTTGCTTTGTTTTGTTTGTCATTTCTTTTCCTATCGGCAAGGAAGATATATGTCCTTGAAAGAATTCAAGAATGGCACTGACACTGGAAGGCCAGCTACAGGTGGACTCCTGGAATATGAGGCATCATAATGAGACTGAGTCAAGAGCTTCCTTCTGTTTCTACTGGATGGCCCAAGGAAGCACATCGTCCTGTTTTATTGCTTTCTACCCTGTGCAATATTAGCATGCAAGCTTGGCTTACATAACCATACTTTATATTCGATTGATATATAATCACCGTTCTAACCTCTTCCAGGAAAATATTTTTAGAACTACTAGCTTTTCCACATACAAGTAAATGAGGATTCTTGAGGGAGCTGCTCCACCATGCTATTAAGACTCTGGCAGAGTTATGGTAGGATATGGATCCCTGTATTAATAAGTCCTGTAAATACAATGTCTTAAGGCTTTGTATAGCTGTCCTAGACTGCAGAAATGTCCTCTGATTAAATCCAAAGTCTGGCATCATTAACTACATAGTGCTGTAGCAACAAGTCTTATCATGGCACTTCTTTCTATGTTTGATTTGCTTTTTTCCAAGAGTATTCAGATATCCTCTGGTGAGATAGGAAGGCCATGAAATCAATTAGGTTTCAGAATGATCTATGTGACCAAATGTTGGACAGCCCTATTAAAGTGGTAAATAACTTCTTTCTAATCCTTCTTGTCCTCTTTATTTGCCATTTACTTTTACTGAATTTAACCAAATCTGGAGAAAACCTGCCCAGGGATTCACATTCAACCAAAACTTTTTCCACAAGGTCTTTGCTTCTATCATGGTGATTATTTCCAACCCCACTATTTTGAAAATGAGAAATTCATTACTATAATTGCAGGTCCTTGGTCAGCAAGATGAAACATCAGATCCCATTATCAAGCTTCTGTAGTGGTCATGGGGATGATTTGGGGCTCACCATCTTCTCTTTTTGAGAGTTAACTCAGCTAGTGCTTATAAGAAGGAAATATCTTCTTAAGTTCTAGTTTTCTTGGAAATAGCACTTTCTATTCCAGTCACTTACCCTATCATCTTATAAGTGTATCTGTTTTTTCCACAAAACCTATTCTCTGGAATGCATATTATTAGAACCTCTTATTAGATAGATCAGTATTACACTGAGTCCTGTGGTCTGGGCTTTTAAATTTAAATCTCAGACAAAATCCAAAAGCTCCTTCATCTCTACCAAGATAGCCTAACGTCTGATTGAACATGTACACACTCTAACCAGATAAACCGATTCTGCATTTGGAAGGCCTATAAAAGCATCTAGAGATAAAATCCTGACTATGAAATTGAGCCTTCTCCCAAAACTTTCACAAATACCTGCCAGAAGGTAGCATAAAATTCATACCAGTAAATTAGAATTTTCTAATGTATTGTCCAGATCTATATACCAAAATAATATATTAGAAATTGATTTTCATCTGTAGACTTTGGAGTAAAGACTGAAATCATAAACCCAAAGAATTATCTAGAAGAGAGCATCTCAAAATGTGGAGAAAAAACTATTATAAAATATACTCGGGAAAAATTTTTTATATAAAGTAAAGTAGAAGTGTTTACTGAGGGAACTATCAGAGGCTTTAACATACCAGAAGACACTGTGTGTCTTCCAGAAAGACTAGAAAAGGGGAAGTTGTGTAAAAAAACCTCCAAAATCCAGACATGATAGTTGGTCATTTGGCTAATGGGGATCGTGTGCCTTGTGTAATGGGAAGCTATAAAAATATTATTTTTCAATATGAAAATTTTTCAAAAGAACCAGAAATCTAGGGGGTTTTCACATGAAATTTTCTAACATTCTAAAAGTGAGAAGAACTAATTTCATTTTTTAAAAATGCTCCAAACATTGATATTTCCCCAAACTCTCTGAACATATGGACTTCATTGTGAAATTGGTGTTCCCTCAGATACTCCTTTAAAAGCATAGATCCTACATGAAAATCCAATGAGAAAAAAGAAAGCCATCCTCTTTCACGAGGCCTCACACATCTAGACACTTTTTCATAACTCAAAATGTGTGACACTCACAGCTTTCCCTATTCTGTTACTGCAGCCTGTAAGTCGACGCAAGAGCTAGTCTAGAGATCCACATCTGTTAGTTCATTTCCCATTGGTCAATTCATGCAACAGCCTCCCTTGAAAAGACCTGGAGAAGGAATCAGGGGGAAAAAAGACCACATTAGAATCAGACAACCATGCAATAAGACAGTGCAAATATTTGTAAATGTCGTCAAATTCAATTTGGACTTATTCAAGTCCTTTACACAAATGTGTGAACCATCAAATTTTGTTTAAATTTAACTTACTTGCTTCAGTTGGGGAAATTTAATATCAACCATCTGCCTATTGAATTTGATCATTTATGGTGAAAAAACTTACATCCCGTATTTCTGGTAATAAAGATCTCGGTGTGGTATAAGTAATATTGATTTTGAGCTTGTGCATCTAGAATAATGAATAACATTGTGACATAATTAGAGTAAAAGCAAAGAGTTTCATCCAGAGACCTTCTCTTGGTAAAAGGAGAAATATGACTTATTTTATAAGATAAAGATTTTCAAGTAGGGTAAAACTTATCTGTTGACATTTTGGGTGATTAGATTTATCTACTAACGGACTGGCCAAGCACACTGAGAAGTTTACTACTTGGATTTTTTTCCATTATAGAATGATAAAGAATGTTTTCACCAACACACAATTCAACATCTTTTTTTTCTATCAAATAGAGTATAACTTTCACAAAGCAATATAGTGGTTTTATAGTGCCATATATTATGCCACCTTGCCATTGTCACTGATATAGTAAGTTATGGAAGATATAAAAATTGTTTATGTGAGGAGAGCCACCACATTCCTCGCTGGCATGGGGTACACATTGTTTTCTGGAAGGTTAAATAGCATGTCATAATATGACTTCTTCTTTTAATTAAGATTGACAGCCCCTATTTCAATAGCTATTAGTGTTTGCTTGACAAAGAACTATGTCATGTCTGTTTTCATAAGTCGTCTACCTTCTAAATAAGATTCAATGTAGTAAATTGTAGACGCGAGCTATCTCTATCTAGTTAATACATACAAGAAAACATGATAAAGGGTACAACTTAGGAATGTGAGAAGTCAAAATTAGTAGCAGCAGGGATAGAATCTATTTCCTAGCCCCCATGGGCATAATACAAAAGTGATGAAACAGAATCATGCTCATACGTCAAAGAATATTAAAGAGAAGTTTATTAGTTGCACATATATTCACACCTCCAAAAAGTCTGCTATTAAAGATTTAGAGATTTTAAGTTGAAGAGGTCAGGATTCTTTTCTTCCTTATAAAAAAGCTAAGGGACATATCATTCATTGAATGTTACAACATGCTAGCTTTATTGGACAGTGAGTGGCTCGCTTTGGTAATTTGTTTCATTTTTGAAAAACACTAAGCTCTCATTTATTCTGGTGACTAATCATATTATTTACAAAAATAAACACATAAATATAGATAACCAATCACCAAATGTGAAAGCAAGGACCCCAACCCTTACTGACTATATTTACAAAACAGGAGATATTTATCCAGCCCTGATTCTTATGTGCTTAGAGAAGCTACCACCTGAGAGTAGACATATGAAATGCCATGACATATGAGATGAGTGATGAAAATACGAAGCCAGATTACCCATAAAATGGTGTTTCACAACCCCTTAGGCCATTATACCACCTTTCTGTTGTCACTAGTACAATAAGTTATGGAAGACATAAAAATTGTTTATGTGGGGAGAGCCACCACATTCCTTGCCAACATGGGGTACACACTGCTTCCTGTAAAGTTAAATAGCATGTCGTAATATGACTTCATGATATGTAATCATATGTCACAGGGTAGGTAGGAAGTGACTTCTTACTGTTAATAGTCCACAATTAAACTTTTAAAGGAATTATAACTGGTTCAAGGGTAGTTCTCAAACAGGGCATCAAAGGGACATATGCCTACAGAGCTAGCCAGGTAATACAAGTTAGTTAAGCAAGGTCACCTGCAGTGCCTCAGCATGACATGGTGAGGACAGAGACCTTGGCATATATCAAAGTACTGGTAGCCAGAATTTGGTTCCATGCAGCATTAAGGAATCAATGTGGCCAGATTCTTATGATTTTTTTTTTTTTTTGGAATACCCAGAAACCACATATGTTGATATGTGAGTATGCCAAAAGCAAACTCAAAGAATTTTTCTTATGCTTTTATATCACACAACAATCAACAGAGAAGACTTTTATGCCCAACTGTGAAGGATTCCCCCATACACTAAGCAAGCAATCACTTCAACAACTGGGGGTCTTCTAAACCAATTCAATTTTGACACTCTCCCTGGACATATCATCAGATCCTACAGGGTGAGATTGGCAGATCTTATCAGCTTCCCCATCTGCCCCCTATTTCCAATGCCAATTGCAAGCCCCCTGGCTTCTAATTAGCCAGGTATATAAATCAAGGTTCCCAACAATTATTTGGGTTTGAATAATTTGCTGGAGTGGCTCATGGACCTTAGGGAAACACATTTACCAATTTATTAGAAAAGATATTACAGAAGATTCTGATGAAGAGACACATAGGACAAGGTATGGGAAATGGTGAGGAGCTTCTATGCTCTCTCAGGTGCTCCAGCTTCCAGGAACATCTACTTGTTCAGCTATCCAGAAGTGCTCTGAACCCTGTCCCTTTGTGTGTTTCTGGAGATTTCATTATATAAGCATAATTGATTAAAGCATTGGCCACTGGTGATCAGCTTCACCTTCAGCCCCTCTCCCCTCCAGGGATGTTAGAGTGGGGTGGGGCTGGAAATAAGTCCCAACCCTCTAATCTCATCTAATGACTTGGTCTTTCCAGTGACCAGCCCTATCCTGCAGCCATCTAGGGGGTCCTAGCCATCAGTCAACTCATTGACATACAAAAAGACGTTACTTTGAGGTTCTATGAATTTTAGGAGTTACTTGCCAGGAAACAGGGTTGAAGATCAAAAACATGTTTCACTATATCATGATACAATGTGTCCAAATTTCATATGCTTATAACCCATTAAAATTTTGTTTGAAAGATGTGGCTAAAGGTTCTGTTCTGTCTGTAAAACACCAGTTTGCAAATTTGACCTAAAATTACATCATTCTCCTGCATTTGTATTCTCCTATGCTTCCTCTGATGGTAGGAAAAACGAAATGGTGGAGAAAGAGCTAGTTAGCCAGCACTAACCCACTACTGAGGGAGCTTTGGTTTCATACTAGTATTGAGTACATCAGTTGTCCTCCATTGGGTGTATGTCAAGTTCACAAAAAGGAGCTAATCACTATACTAGGATGGAGTAAATGGGGTCAGTTTCTATAGTCTCCAATTTGAGGACTGAAAGAAAATGGTACATGTATAAGGTTGGCAGACAGTAATAGCTGGTGCCAAAGACCTAAGAAGCTAGCAGCTAGCCACCCAATAAAAATGGCCTCCCTCTATTTTCATGTTCCAGATACAACCTCCCACACATTTTGTAATGCCATCCTTTTATTTTTATTTTTGATTTTTTAAATTTAGAATTAGTACAAGGTTACAAAAGATTACACTGTTTACTTTTGTTAGGTAAAGGCCAAGTTGTAGTTTAGCCCTGCACCCAGGAGGTGTGCCATATACC